CTGCAGGGGACCTGTAGCATGGGAAGAAACAAGCCTACATTGTTTTAAGCCACTGATGTTTGGGGATGGTTTTTGCCCATAGCATAGTCTGGCCTTTTTTGACTGAGTCACAGGGCTGGTGCTCATCCTGTGTCCCTCCACAACATTGTGGACTTTTCCAATTCTTTATATTTACAACCTATTTACTGACCAGGCATGCATTACGTCTGTCATAGTCACCATTATATTCTCAGTAGTTGGAACAAAATATGCTCAATAAGTATTCATTGAGTTGACTTTTATAGTTTTTCCTAAACAACTCTCAGGGTTTGAGCTTATAAAGAAGTAGCAATACTTTGACATTCATAGGTAATTCAAAACTTCACTTTGATCCTTTACTTGAACTCATTCTTCACACATCCTATTTACCAAAACCAAATTGACCAGAATTTGTTCGTCTTCTCTCCTCTCCAAGCCACTTCTAGCTTTGGGGAAAAAAATGACAGTCCCAGTACTGAAGGAACGACCTAGAGGGAAAGACTGATATCTACTAGTACTGTTTAGAAAGAGGTGAATGACCATAGACAGGCTCCAGAAGTAATAGGCAGAGCATGGACTTTGCAGGAAAGTCCTCCTCGTTTGAAGACTTAGGAAGAATAAATATTACACTTGGCCTATATCATTCAGTAAAATCTCAGCATCTTCTCAAGAAACAAAAGAAGCAAAAACGAAGTGGAGAAATTAGCTGCCAGCTCATCTGAGGAACAGCATCATTAATAACCTCTAGGAGATGCACAAATGAGATGGCTCATTTGATGAAGCTTGGTTTATAAAACCAGAGATGACAAATGGAAGGATTGGGACAGATTAATTACCCAAAATGTGTCCTTTCCTTTCTTCTCTTTCCTTCCTTTCTTCATTAAGTCGACAAATATGTACTAAACAGATACTGTGATAGACACTTGGTATACAGAGAGGAAATAATCCACAATTTAGTAAGGGAGACAAACAGGAAGCATCACATCAGGTTTGATAAGAGCAATTAAGTGGAAACTACCGAAAATGAAGCCGCATAGGAAGTGTCCCTAACTATACCTAATGGGTCTTGGCTTTCCCTGAGTGTTCTGTGTAGGAAAGCATTTTCATCGTGATCTTCACACCTATACAGTTCCACTGACCTGGATGTTCACATGTCAAACTCTTTTCCTTTTCACTTGGTGTTCTCTCTGCCCGTTGTCTTCTCTTTGCACATCCCTGTTCATTTCTTTATCATAAACAATCTAAATTTTACTCATTTGTTTATTTATTAATTGTTTCCCAGTCTTGAGCTTACGGTCCTGAGGGCAGGAAGCATGCCAATTTTGGTCACTCTCACAGTTCTGGTGCCTGAAATAGACCCTGAGAGCTAAAAAGTCCTCAGTAAACAGGTGCTGTGACTGACTATAGAAATGAATGAATGATCAGCTCAAACTAGACCAGAAACAGGAGTCTGTTTAGATGGACATGAATCTAGTTAATGAAGGTCAGGTAAAGCAGGTAAGGGTGGACTGTAGCCCAGGCATGGCAAAGGTTCCCAGATTCCAGGAGGGCCAATAGTAGGGAATAGGGGTCCAGGCAAAGATGAGAGAGAGAAAAAAATCTGAGACAGAATGCTAAGCAATGAATGATCCAGACCTCGCCAGAAAGCTGAGTTCATAGGTCCAGGTACCCAGTAGCAAGAACGAGCTGACTAGAACCGAAAGCCTTCTTTCTATTGCCTGAGTTCATCTAAAGCACACAAGCTGAAGCTGGCAGGCCCCCTGGAGTGTGATGCCTGACAAGCCTGGAGCAAAGAACTGAGCATGCAGCCACATTTACTCTCAACACCTCTGGATTCTTAGGCAAAACACCAACAGACTCAGCTGGGCCAACTGTAGCTGGCTTTTTGCTGTACTAGAATGGCAAGAAGGGATGATGCTGTGATTTATGTCTGTGTATATAAAAGGCAAACAAATTTTTGCAAGAACACTGATCTTGGATTTAATCCTAGCTCCACTACTTACTTGCTAGATAACTTAGGAAAATTTACTCTGATTCTCTGAGCCTTAGTTTGTTCATTTGTAACATGGGGTTATTAATGCCCAGCTCTCTCAGTTTTTGTAGGGAGAAAAGAGACAATGATATAACCCACTTAGTATAGTGCCTTACCCGTGGCAAGCACTCAACAAATGGTAGCTATGTAAGATGAAAGTATACTTATATAAGGGAAGGTGATCATTTGATTGTTTATAGTGGGGATGCCTAACCCAATCCACACCCTTGTTTAGGATTCACATTCTGTGTAGTCTTCTCCCTGAATAAGGGTTTGCCTTATGACTTTAATCAGTAGAATGCAGAAGTGACACTGTGCCAATTCTGAACCAACGCCCTAAGAACTGACAGTTTCTACTTTCGGGACCCCAGGACCACCACATAAGAAGTCCAGCTACCCTATTGAAGAGATCAAATAGAGACTCCATGTGGGAAAGGATAGGCCTACCTGATTTAGAGTCCCAGCTAAGCTCAGTCTTCCATCTGTCCCTGCCAAAGTAGCTGGTATGGAAATGAGTTATCTTGGATATTCTGGATGATTTCAGTCCCAGTTACCTTTTGATTTCAACAGCATGAGCAGCCTAAAACAAGACAGTAGATGAACTGCCTTTCTCAACCTAGTAGACATATAGGTGGGAGAGATAATAAAATAGTTGCTGTTTTAAACTGTTAAGTTTTGGGTTGGTCTGTTTTGGTTCTCTGTAATAGGTAAGCAAGACACTGAGGTACCTATGATTTAATTATCAGAAAGTGGTTATCTCTTGACTTCTTGCCTGACCTACAGCTAAGGCAGGGTGCTTTATGGGGACATGTTCCATGTTGGATCCATGCTGGCCAACTGTATTAGCAGGCCTGATTAATGAGTCAAAGTCTCCACATGGTCTGCAAACTCGAACACAGAACAAATTGAGCTAGTTGCCTCTCCACATTCAGTAGGTGGTGCTTCAACAAAATGGGTTTCAGCTGAAGTTTGCAGCTTCTGCTTTCAGCCTGAAAAGTAATCCTGTGATGCTATCCCAAGTGGGATGTGAGAAACAGAAGAGGGGTTAGGGGGATGTCACAGATTGCTCCTGTCTAGCAACTGGTCAGTTAACCTGAGACTAAGGGACCCTGTGGAGATGAAAACTAAGTTGTAAACTAGGACCATCCGGCCGATATTAGATTTCAGCCCGCAGACAGTAGGGTGAGTGTTACTGGAGTTCAGCCCTTTCTGAATGGCTTCAGAAGCCCATGTTGCTGAAAAGATAGTCAGGGAGCTATTATATTCATTGGGCAGCAATTAGACTAAAAGTGCCATGGAACCAGACATCCATAGTTTGCTCCTGTTGCGGCAGGTTTAATTTCATCAGGCGTCACAGGGTCGCTCAGAGAAAGGATGGAGGGAGGGTGGTGCCTGTAGCAGGGATGGGAGAGAAGTCGGAAGGCTCCCCTGTCAGCCCTCTTTCTCTTTTTCAGTTTTCCTTTCTTGTCCCCTGAAACCTCCCCTTTCAATAGATGTCCCCACCAGCCCCGATACTGCCCAGCACAGTAGTTGTCAGCCAATGAGACAAGCTGGACAAGTAGAGACAGACTGATAGACAGGTTCTATACATGGCTAGGTGTCAGGTTCAAGAGGGCTAAACTCCGAAGTAAGAAAAGGTACCTTCAATAATTATGGGTGGGTCAGAGAACCAGTCACATATAGCTTGATGATTTAAAATGTTTATCTGCCATCCACCATCATCCATTCAAGTCCTACTTCTGTAGGCTTCTTCAGCTGTGTGGCTTCAGGTGAGTTATTTAACTTCTCTGGGTTTCTGTTTCTTATATGTCTGATGGAACTGATAGTAATAGTACCATCTTAATGGAATTACTATTGAGAGAATTAAATGAGACAGCCCACAGTCCGGGTGAGGTGGCTTATACCTGCAGTCTCAGGAGTTTGGGAGGCTGATGCCTGAAGATCATGTGAGCCCAGGAGCTTGAGATTAGCCTGGGAAACATAGCGAGACCCCGTCTCTACAAAATTATAAATAAATCATGAGATAGTCCACATTAAGCACAAGCACAGGGCCTGCAAACAGTAGGTGGCCAATAGATGGTCGTAGTTTTTGGTAGCTGTAAAAATAGTACCAACTGCCCTCATTCTGCTACCCCCCAGGGAAAATCCTAGTCATATTAATAAACTTAAGAGGACGTCCCTGGCCTTCATTGCCCTGGAAAGAATTCATCATTTCCTTCTCCATGCCTTGGATTTGTCTGTTACTGTACTTCTCACCCTGCCATGTAATGGTTTCTTGGTAGCACTTACCATGTGTTAGAGATTGTTCTAAATAATTTGTATTTATTAAGTTATTTAATTCTTACAACCATAACACATAAGGTCAAAACTAATATTATCTCTTCCATTTTATAGATTAAGCAACTAAGGCACAGAGACGTTAAGACATTTGCTCAAGGTCACACAGTAAAGGTCAGAGCAGGGATTCCACTGAGGCTGTCTGACTCCAGAGCCTCTAGCATTTGCATTTCTTCATGTTCATTTTCCCTATTAGACTGAGGGCGAGCATGATCTTAACTCATTTTTGTGCTATCAGTGTTTAATGCTGTACCTGATCAAGAAATGGCATTGCATAAAGGTTTGTTGAATTTAGTGGCATTTAGTGTGAACTGAGGAGCATCTTTAGAACTTACTTCAGTGCAGCCTAGGGCTTGAAATTCAGCTGCGAGACGTTAATGTTGATTTTCCTAAAAGTTCTTTATTTATTTTACTAACCCCACATCTTGACAAGAAGGAAGAGTATGAGTCCTCTCACTTAATGCATAAATTAAAGGATGAAAACTAAATGAATCCATTACTTAAGTAGCTCCAAGGGGATCAATTCTGACAGAGTTTATGCGATAATGGAAGTAATGCCCCAGAACATAGGAGGGGATCAGTGAAGCCAGTTCTTCCTCTTCTTCTTCTGCAGGCTGTCCTCTTCTCAGAGCCCACTGCACAGATAGCTGCTTTGCACACACAAATAGAACCTTCAAGTCTCAGCTCAGGGGTTTCTGTAAGTATGTGTTGAACAGAGAAATGATCTGGCTCTGGAACCCAACTCTGCCACTTTTAAGCTAGGAACTTTGGGAGAGTTCACTGGCAAATGTGATGGGTCCCTATCCTGGGGGGATTTAAGTCTACTAGGGCTCTGAGTTTGTTTATAAGATGGGGTGATAATGCCTACTTCCTAAGGCCATTGGGAAGATTGAGTGCTATAATATGAATGAAATATATTTGCATGTGGTACTTTCTATGTGCTTGTTATCACTGATACAAAGAACATCTGGCAGATCTGGGTCTCAACAGAGCCTCACTTGGGAATTACATGCGAGCCACATAATCTCCCTGTGCCTCAGTTTTCTCATCTGCAAAATCAATATGATGATCTCCAATATTTTTTCTTCATAAGATGGCTGTAATGATTGACAGGTTGCATATATGAATGTAAAAGGCAGAGTATGACGCAAATAAAAAAGAAATTCGCTGAATGCTTCAAAGAGTTCAGCTTGACTGTTTTTACTTTGAGCAGGTACATTTCTGTATTTGCAGCACTCATTTTCCTGGCTTGAGGGCAAATTAATAGGATGACAAACTGACTTCTGGAGTAGTTGAGGCTGTAATACTCAAGGCTGCATGAAGGAGCACCCAGAAAGGATTCTAACAAGGCAAGTTTCCTTCCTTTAGTTCCAGAATTCTCCCTGGTGGAGGTGGGGATGGGTTAGAGGAAAGAATGATGCCTGAAGGGATCTTAGAAGTTGCTGGGCATTATGAATGCACTAGCAGAGGCCTGGAGAATTGAGGTGACTTGCCCAAGGTCACAAGCAAGTTAGAGGCAGAGCCAGGAACTTTTTTGTGTGCACTGTGTTCTCCCCTAGAACCAGCACCCATTTTATTATTATTATTTTTTTTTAATTTTTTGGAGATGGAGTTTTACTCTGTCTCCCAGGGTAGACAGCAGTGGCATGATCTCAGCTCACTGCAACCTCCGCCTCCCAGGTTCAAGCAATTCTCATGCCTCAGCTTCCTGAGTAGCTGGGATTACAAGCACCTGCCACCATGCCTAGCTAATTTTTCTATTTTTAGTAGAGACAGGGTTTCACTATGTTGGCCAGGCTAGTCTTGAACTCCTGACCTCAAGTGATCCTCCCAACTTGGCCTCCCAAAGTGCTGGGATTATAGGCATGAGCCACTGTGCCCAGAGCCCATTTTAAAAATGAACAACTCGTGTAGGGTTCGGGGATGAGTGAGATGGAGTCTGCATCTGGACTGTGAAATGCCCTGGTGATGTTATGCTATGGGGTGTGGTAATGGGCAGTATCCCAAAGAAAGCAAATGTGGACCTTGACAGATAAACTTGGATTCAGGTGAAGAAATTTCAAATCTTCCTAAGGCAGCTGAAAAGAAATGCTAATTATTACAGCTAATAATCACGAGACTTTACTATATACTAGGCACACTTTTAAGCATTTTTACCTATATAATGCCCATAACAATACTCTGAGAATGGATACTATTACCTTCATTTTACAGGGAAGTAAACCGAGGCACAGAGCAATTAAGTAACTTGTTCAATGTCACACATCGCTAACATAGAATGATGATTTGAACTCTGGGCATAACCTTCATGTTATGCGGCTTTCAATTGCCCTCCCATCTACCCCGACCATACTTTGAGAAAGAAAAATAGCACAGGGATTGGCATCAGGAAGACTTATCAGATCTAGTAACCTCTTTACCTTCACCATAAAAGAGGAAATTGTGCCTTCCTCACAAAGTTATTTTGTAGAGATAAGAAGTGTGATGTACTTCACATACAGCCTGGTGAGCTGGAACAAAGCACTATCTAGTGACTCCTGCCCTGCTCTTTGAATGTTTCTCTTACTGTTTGGGACCAGGATTTTGCATGGAAAAACAAATAACTAAACTTTTCCATGGGACACAAGATTCAACCATATACCAACTTGTTTTTCAAGTAGAAAAAAAATATGGCCCAAATTCTCCCTCATTTACCTCCTTCTCAGGAAATATTTGAAAACATATTGTTGGGACAATCAATTTTATATTTCCAGTTTTCTTTTCAGACCTAAGGACCTTCATTACAATACAAAATTTGACTGCAAAACAAAACATAATGTATATCACAGTGGTTCTCAAGGGAGGCAATTCTGTACCCTGAGGGCATTTTGGAAATTTGTGGGGATGTTTTGGTTGTCAAATTACTGGAGAAGGCACTATTGGCATTTAATGTGGGCTGGGACCAGGTATTCTAAGTGAATTTTAATATGTGGGCCGTGTATGAGGAATTGTTCCCTGTCCTGTAGGACTTTTGAACATCCCATTAAGCCATCCGATAGGTAAATCAATCAAACAATCTACTTAGAGTTATGTGAGTTTAAAATTGACCTGAATTTTACATCTTAACATAGGGTGTACACTGAATTTTCCAGCAAGGCCACTACCATGTAAATAAAAAATACTTCTTTATTTGATGTAGAACTTTACCAAGAGTAGTTCACCCTTTAAGAAAAGTCATGTCATTGATAGCAACACCTTTCAGGGTATTTGAGTTATCAGTACCACACCTTCTTATCAGTCTTCAGTAGATATTCTACTGTAGTGGGAGCTAAGCGTTTACATATTGAGTTAGATATTAATTTATTTTAAATTATTTTATTTTTATTTCTGTTACAATTAAGGTTATATAAGTATTTTTTGAAATTTTATTGGTAGGTAGCATACATTATCTATGATGTTCATTTTAGGATATAAAGGAAATGTTAAGAAATATTGTTTATAGAAAGGAATCACTCTGTCTGATATGCTTGGAATGCTCTGATGTAGTGAAGCTAGTTGTGGGCTCCTGTTTTCTGTAGCAAAACACTACAAATTAAGACTGTGCCTATTAAAAATTGAAATCCTTCAACTTGGCTGAAGTTTACTACTAATTTCTAAGAAAAAAGAATGTTCTGATGAAATGAATGGTATAGTATTTCCTTCGATGAGATTTTTAGGACTCTAGTTCCAAATGAATGGATAATTATAGCCAAGGAGAATATAAGACAATTCCATAGTAAAATTACTTTGGGAAATGGCTGGAAAAAATAAGCTAAACAGGGTTCTTTGCTTCAGGACTTCTCAGAGCCTTTAATATGAATATACTGATCTGCAGTATATTTCTACAAGTGGACAATCAGCATGGTATGTTCATTTGACCAAGGAATATTTATAATTATAGTATATTCATTTTTTGGTTTTTGCTTTTGTTTTGAGACAAAGTTTTATTCTTGTTGCCCAGGCTAGAATGCAATGGTATGATCTCAGCTCGCTGCAACCTCTGCCTCCTGGGTTCAAGCGAATTCTCCTGCCTCAGCCTCCTGAGTAGCTGGGATTACAGGCATGCACCACCATGTCTTCCTAATTTTGCATTTTTTAGTAGAGACAGGGTTTCTCCATGTTGGTCAGACTGGTCTCAAACTCCTGACATCAGGTGATACACCTGCCTTGGTCTCCCAAAGTTCTGGGATTACAGGCATGCACCACCATGCCCAGCCTGACATATTCTTTAAAAAGCAAAGTTCCTAAAGGACTTTAACACATCTTTGTTTTAAAGCTAACAGGTATTGCTAATTACCAGTGGATCTTTATCTTGAGGAAATTATGTATAACAGTGTCTTCATAATGATACAGTTCTACAAATGCAAAGTGTTATATAAAGAGAGCCTGTGGTGAACATGGGCTATTTTTGTCTGGCCAGCACTCTTTCGTTTTCTTCTGGTAACTGTGTCCAGTCCCCATGTCTTTGCTTTAGAGAGTTGCATCTTCCTCTCTTCTACCTGCGATTCTGATGGGACTTTGTGACAGGCACATGACCCTAGTCTGACCAGTTGTGGTTCCCACCCCTTTGGCTATAGAGGTAGGTCTAGATTTTGATATATATCCAATGTGGGCCATCATTCTCTGGGATGTTTTTCATACTAAAATTGAGTAGAAGAAAATCCCTCCACCTAAGCCACAATACTTCAGGATGGAAGGTTGAAACTACCAGTGAATGGACTTCCCACCATGGGGAAAATGCCTTCTTCAATAAGTGAAAGTCTTGGCAGCACTGGCCTGGTTGCTGTGAGTTGGTCACTCAAGCCAGTGTGATCTTCACAAGCCCCTCTAAGAGTCAAGCACTTTATTCTTAAAATGGTACAAGATATCTGGTCTGCTTATCCCTCAGATTGTTGGAGGGTACAAATAAGACCCATCCTAATTTGGCCCCAGAATATACTGTAATATCTGTTTTGCCAGTAAAGCAAGTCTGTTTTGAGCATTTATTTGTCAAAGTCACATATGCAGATTTGTTTCGTTGAAGCCAGTCTGTTGGAGTCACTGAATTTGTGTGTCAGAATGGATTACTTCCATCCAAGCTAAGGTAGGACTTACACTGCCAAGATACAAAGAAGAAGACTAGACTTGGTTTTCAAACTAGTATGGTCTCAAAATCACTTCCATCTATACTCCTCTAGAGAAAAAGATATGAGTTCTCAAAAATAAAATCTAAATTCTGACAAACCTTTTTAATAAGAATTTGTAGATCAGTCAAATTCCAAAATCCTTGGTACCTAAGATTATGTTTTGCGTTTTTGTTGTTGTTGTTTGCTTGCTTGCTTTTGAGATGGAGTCTTGCTGTGTCACCCAGGCTGGAGTGCAGTAGGGTGATCTTGGCTTACTGCAAACTCTGCCTCCCAGGTTCAAGTGATTCTCTTGCCTCAGCCTCCCAAGTAGCTGGGATTATAGGTGCCGGCCACCACACCTGGCTATTTTTCTTTTCTTTTTTTTTTTTTTTTTGTATTTTTAGTAGAGACGGGGTTTCACCATGTTGGCCAGGCTTGTTTCTAACTCCTGACCTCAGGTGATCCTCCCTGGCTTGGCCTCCCAAAGTGATGGGATTACAGGCATGATCCACTGCACCTGGCCAGTATTGTAATGCACTCCCCAAATGATATTTGTGATTGCTGAATTTTTAGGCCCACCATATTAAGGAAAAGAGCACCAGCAATAAATTGAGAGACCTGATGTCTATTTATAAGGAACCAGTTAATTAAGAGTACACAAAAAGTTTGAAGTCAAACTCGAGTGTATAGTTCATAAAATTATGTGATATATTATTAAGAAAAAATAACCTTGCAGAACAGTATGTATAACACACTCCCATTAAAAGTATGTTGGCATAATTATGCACAGCAACAAAAATTATGTGTGGTATAAGCACAGAAAGAAATTGGAGGGCTCTACACCTAAGAGTAGCAATTATGCAGAGTGCTTACAAGGCACTATCATTTTATATATGTCTATGGTGCTTGATTGTTTATGGTGAGACTGTTACACATATCATCATGAGACATTTATAAAACGTCTATCATCTGTCTATCCATCTGTCTACTTACCTATCTACCTACTTACCTACTTACATATTGCTTCATCCATCCATCTCTGTGAAGGAACACCAGTTTGGGTTTCAGATTTAAGTCCTATTTGGGTTCTCAACTAATAGGGTTACAGGACAGCAATGTGATGATTAAGAACTTGCTCTCTAGATTAAGATAGACTTTGGTTCCAGACCTGAATTCATTACTTATATTGGTGATGTGACTTAATTTCCCTTATTTCACCTGGTGTTTGTTTTCTCATTTGCAAAGGAGGATAAAAATACCTACCTCACCTTCCAAAAACTTATAACCCCAGTCCAATCATAGAGAAGATCAGACAAATTCCAATAAAGTGGCATCCTAAAAAAATACTAATTGGAGCTCTTCAAAACTGTCAAGGTTATCAAAAACAAGGCAAGTCTGAGGAATTGCCACAGAAGAACTTAGGGAAACCTGACAACTAAGTGTAGTGGCAACCTGGATGGGATCCTGAGTTAGAAAAAGGACATTAGGTAAAAGCTAAGGAAATCATCTGAAGGAAGCACGAACTTTAGTTAATGTAACAATAGTGGTTCATATATTATAACAAACATACCACACCACTGTAAACTATTAATAATAAGATAAACTGGTTATGGAGTATATGGAAACTTTCTGCGCTATCTTCTAAATTTCTCTGTAAATATAAAACTGTTTATAAACATAAAAAAGACAATTTCCTAGAATTTCCATGTGGCTTAATCAATACAAATGCTAAAAATTAGTACCTTGAAGGCACAGAGTGGGGGCCTAATAAGCAGTAGTGATTAGTATTATAATCTCATGTCTCTGTGTTTCTCATTTCCCATCTCTAGCCCATGGGGATTGGACTCAACACACTGTAAGATCTCTTCCAGCTGGAAGATTCTGGGCCTCTGTGGCTTAAATTCCTCAGGCATATTTGCTGAATGTGAGTCACGTTCACCATCCTTCCGACTTCTGTGGCTTTGTCTCAGTGACGCCGTACCTTGCTATTTACTTTCTTCATTCTCTCTCGCTGTATTAGGCACTTATGATCATTCAGCAGTTTCTTTTGTGAAATGATTGAGACACAGAATGACTAGCCACACACATTCCCCCCAAAACCGGTGGAGTTTCCAACTGGATCCAGATTCTGACGTCAGAGGGGATTCTACTGTCCCTATTGCAAGCTTCTGTGTAACTATGACTGTGATAAGAAAGGCCCCAGAGGGGAGAGAGAGAGAGAAAGAGAGAGAGAGAGAGAGATCACATCCCATCCCATAGGCTCTCTTGGAACCTAACTGTTTGCAGGGCCCCATCAGCTCTATCCAAGCAGAGAAATTATCCTAAGCTGAAATGTGCATGCTCTTCTGTGTGGCCCCAGAATGACTTGAGTCTACTGAATGGAATTTCATACATGTGTTGGGTGAGGTGATTTATTATAGGAGGTAATGGAAATTAATTTCACTTTGAACACTGGGGCACCAGAAAATGCCTAAGTGCTGAGCCATTTTCTTTAAGTAGGCTATAAAGCTGCTACTTGCTTCTGGCTGGGCAGCGAAGTGGCGATGACCACTTGTAAAACAATGAGCTGGAATAGGAAGTTAATGGGCCCTGGCTATCGTGGGGCAGCCTGCAGTGCTCATCCTACCAGCCCCTGCTGTCGCAGGACTCAGTCTTCCTGGCGCCACAGATAACAGAGATGCTGGAGCAGTATGTGTATGCTAAAGCAGAGCCAAAGAAGGGAAAAAGGAAACATTCCTGGGGAGCCAAAGACCATGAGTATTTGGCTGACAGGGGTGGTCCTGTCCCTAGAAGTTCCCTAACTAGGAAGCAGAATGGCTCACAGCTATAAATGGACCTGAGGAGATCCTGTTTTCTAAAATGGCCTCAGTTAAGGCTCTCACTGCTTAATTTGAGATAGAGAGTATTTTCCAAGACAGCTTCTGGGTTCCAAGGCTTGCCATCATGGTCTTCTGATGTAAAGTTTTATAAAGGCATTTCAGTCACTATTGAAGGGCACAAAATTCAGGGACCATTCTAAGGTCTCCAACCATTCCACAGACCTTGAGGTTATACCACATTTATAAGTTTATGTGGAAGATCCTTCAGGGAGAAGATCCTTCTAGGAGACGGAGCTCCTCTTGTAATTCATACAAAAGCCAAACATGCTCACTATATTTAAGGAGCTATCGCTGTGTAACGTCTGGAAAACAGGAACTTGAAGGTTCATGTCAGTAGCCCTAAAAATTATCTTGAGCAGTTTAAAGCCTTTGAAAGATCAAAATTAGCTGCCATAGGCTTCTTCTGGGAAGGGTAATGGAAACTTCCCAATGCTGTAGCTCAGTGGGTAAGACTTCACCATTTTACAGTGGCAGCCTGAGTTCAGTTCCTGGCTTACAGAATGAGTCCTTTCTGATTTGATATCTGTTTGACTTTTACCATTTGATGATTCTCTTCCCCTCCAAGAACCATCTTGAATTTTTCTTTCTCTGAGCACAGAAATATTGGTTATTTGGCCTGGCTAAAGTTGGATAATAAGAAACTTAAAAGGACTTTTTTAAAAAGTGCTATGGTTAAAAGTCAGATTAATTAAAAGTATATATTCAGGCTCTAACAGTCTGGGACTCTGTGGAAAAAACAGGAGGTTCTATAGACACCGTTTTGGGAAAAAAATCTCTGTTTTCCTCATGAAGCCTCAGAAATCCAAGGCCTTCTTCTATTTTGCATTGTGTTATCTGATGTTTTTTTTACTTCTGGGGGTGTCAGAAATTACTTCGCATTATGAGAGAGCTTTGGTGTGTAATAACTAGGTCGGAAACATACTCTGGGGGACAGCTAACAGCAGTTATGGAGGATTCTCAACTTTTCACATGTTTGGATCAGAGAAGCATGTTCTTGGCTACTTAGGAACATGGAGATGTCCCCAACCCTCACTGAGAGATAAGACTCCCATGAAGAAGGGCTGATTCTCTCTTTTTGAGATCCAAGGTCTGATGTAAAAATGGAACCCCTAATTGGGGGAATCTGTTTTGCCTTCCATCTGTGCCTCCTTATTGGGTTGTAGAAACTGCATGCTTTCCTGGCTCTATTCCTCCTAGGGCTCCATCCGGAAGCCAGTAATTCAATTAAGAAACTGGCAAATGAAAAATCTTACAACTACTAGATCTCCTTCTGTCTTTGTATTGTTTATATATGAAAGAGCTTTGATTGGCTTAAAAATAATAAGTGCTTAAATCACATATTTTGTCAGAAAAATAAAAACTGTTACACTTTTTAGTTCATGTGACTTAAATAATCTTTGGGAAAGAAAAAGTTTTATATGCAAGGAGTGAAAGGACAGTGAAATGTGTTTTTAGGAAAAGAGTAAAAGAAATCATAGGAATATGGATTTTTTTTTTTTTTTGCCTAGTTGAAAGGGTTAAAGGGTTAATTTAAAGCTTTAAATTAAAAAAAATAAAGCTGAAGGTTTAAGCAAGTTGTAGAAGGTTTGTAAAAAATTAATTGTAAAAGAAATTCTGTCTGTGGATATATTGGCTAAAGTTAAAGGGGTATTATTCAGTTATTCCATTAATTGAAAATTGGAATAAAAGTAAAACAGATTTTTAGCACTGATCTCTTTAACAAAAACTTGTAACAAATTATAAAAGGCTTATGAAGAAGAACATTAAAATTGGGTAGATATGTCTATGAGGTTTTATTAAGCCTAGGGTTTAACATTAATAGTATACTAACGTAAAAATAACATTTGGCTTATTTGGTGTAAAAGTCATACAGGGAGCACTATCAAATATAAAATGGTGTTTGGCTAGGCTTTATTTGTATAAATGTGTTATTGGTATGTGTTCCAAAATTATAAGAAATTCCTATAATTCTAATATGATTTAGCATATACTATTAATAGTTAACAATTGTTATGTAAAATCTTTTTAACTTTTTGCTTAAAATATTGCTGATCCTTTGTTTTTCAGAGTCAAGAAAACTTTTATTTTTAGTTATTTACAGCTTGTAGCAATTGAATAAAGTATACTCCTGTAAACAAAATTTGGAGCATTTGTATTTCTCTCTACCTGATTTCTCCAGAATTTCAAAACTAGTTGTGAGTATTCTTAACTTATGGAAATATAGTTACTCACATAAGTACAATAAGAATCTGTTTTCATTTGTAACAGGACACAATTGGAGAAGGTGATTATTGCACCAAGGCTTTGACTGGAATGGAGTGCTTCCCTTTAAGGAATCAAACTTGACTTGTAGAGCCAATAAAAGCCCCTTGGGAAGACAGAACTCATACCTTGTCTACACAATCCCTGTGCAGTGTTCCGGGTCTGGTAAGTAAAGAATGTCACTTTCTAACGGGCCCAGGAGCCACAAATTATCTTTAATTTACCCAAGAGGAGAGGAATTTACCCAACTTGTATAGTTATTTGAGGGTGCAAACCCATGGCTGGGCTTCACTTTTTAAAAAAGTCTTATCTGAGATTCTTTATGGAACAAAGTTCAATCAAAACCAATTAAAATAAGCCTGTGTGGCAAATAATTATTCTTACTGTGCTTTATACAAATAATCAGGTCCAGTATAATAAAACAAATTGGTCTTACCATGATTTGTCTTTAATAAAAATGGAAGACTAAAGAGAGAAAATTATGTTCCAAAAACTATGGTACGCCTGTTGTTAGATTCCAGTCTCAGTGGTTTTTTAGTTATTCTCTGCAATTTAGACTATCCCTGCTTATTTTTGTGAAACAACCAGTAATCTCTGGCTGCTCCGCAGAAGTAACAAGAGGGTTGGGTGATGTACAAATCTAAACCAATATTCTAATTCTGGGCTCATATTGGAATAAGCTAGTGACCCTGTATCAACTTGGTTCCAACAGTTGCCCAGTTCATGGAAGACCTTCTAATTTTGTTCACTTGGGATAATTTTACTTATTTTGCTTTACTGTTGTACAATATATTGTGGTTGCACATTTTGTGTAGGAATGCAGAATATACTTATGAAATGTTTTCTTAAGTTAAATACTTATTACTCTTCCAGATATTACCTTTTGTTGGAACTTAGTTATGAATGGCCCTCACCATACTGATGTTTTCTGACTGAGATGCTCTCTACCCTGAATACAAGAGACCCTAATAGTTAGGTAGGGATATCATTGCCCTTATTCAGCATGAAGAAGTTACAGAAGATAGAACTTTGTCCCTCTGAAACCCTTAGGATTAAGGGGGTTCTCCTATAAAAGGAAGAGGGGAGATATCAGAGGTGTTTAAACCAGAGCACCTCCATCTTGAATAAGAGCTGAGTAAAATAAGGCTAAGATCTACTGAGGTGCATTCCCAAATGGTTAGGAATTCTTTTATATATATATATATATAATTGCACTTTAGGTTCTGGGGTACATATGCAAAACATGCAGGACTGTTGCATAGACACATACATGGCAATGTGATTTGCTGCCTCCATCCCCCTATCACCTATATCTGGTATTTGTCCCCATATTATCCCTCCACAACCTCCCTACCCCCCGCTATCCCTTCCCTATTCCCTGCCACAGACCCCAGTGTGTAATGCTCCCCTCCCTGTGTCCATGTGTTCTCATTTTTCAATACCTGCCTATGAGTGAGAACATGTGGTGTTTTATTTTCTGTTCTTGTGTCAGTTTACTGAAAATGATGGTTTCCAGATTCACCCATGTCCCTACAAAGGACACAAACTCATTGTTTGTTGTGGCTGCATAGTACTCCGTGGTGTAAATCTTCCTCTATCTCTTTATTTTGAGCCTATGTGTGTCCTTGCATGTGAGATGGGTTTCCTGATACAGCACACTGATGGGTTTTGACTTTTTATCCAATTTACCAGTCTGTGTCTTTTGATTGGGGAATTTAGTCCGTTTACATTTAAGGTTAATATTGTTATGTGTGAATTTGATCCTGCCATTTTGATGCTAGCTGGATGTTTTTCCCATTTGTTGACACAGTTACTTCATTTTGTTGATGCTCTTTACCATTTGGTACATTTTTGGAGTGGTTGGTACTGGTTGTTCCTTTCTATGTTTAGTGCTTCTTTCAGGAGCTCTTGTAAGACAGGCCTGGTGCTGATGAAATCTCTCAGTAATTGCTTGTTCATAAAGGATTTTATTTCTCCTTCACTTATGAAGCTTAGTTTGGTTGGATATGAAATTCTAGGTTGAAAGTTCTTTTCTTTAAGGATGTGAATATTGGTCCCCACTCTCTTCTGGCTTGCAGGGTTTCTCCTGAGAGATCCATTGTGAGTCTGATGGGCTTCCCTTTGTGGGTAACCCAACCTTTCTCTCTGGCTGCCCATAACATTTTTTCCTTCATTTCAACCCTGGTGAATCTGATGATTATGTGCCTTGGGGTTGCTCTTCTTGAGGAATATCTTTGTGGTGTTCTCTGTATTTCCTTGACTTGAATATTGGCCTGCCTTTTTAGATTGGGGAGGTTATCCTGGATAATGTCCTGAAGACTGTTTTCCAGCTTGGATTCATTCTCTCCATCACATTCAGGTACACCTATCAAACATAGATTAGGTCTTTTCACATAATCCCATATTTCTTGGAGGCTTTGTTCATTTCTTTTCACTCTTTTTTCTCTAATCTTGCCTTCTTGTTTTATTTCATTGAGTTGATCTTCAATCTCTGATATCCTTTCTTCTGCTTGTTCGATTCAGCTATTGAAACTTGTGTATGCTTTGCAAAGTTCTTGTGTTGTGTTTTTCAGCTTCTTTAGGTCATTTATAGTCTTCTCTAAGCTGTTTATTTTCATTAGCATTTCATCAAACCTTTTTTCAAGGTCATAGTTTCTTGGCATTGGGTTAGAACATGTTCTTTTAGCTCAGAGAAGTTTGTTATTACCCACCTTCTGAAGCCCCTTTCTGTCAATTCATCAGACTGATTCTCTATCCAGCCTTGTTCCCTTGCTGTTAAGGAGTTGTGATCCCTTGTAGGAGGGGAGATGTTCTGGTTTTGGTGTTTTAATCCTTTTTGCACTGGTTTCTTCCCATCTTTGTGGATTTATCTACCTGTGGTCTTTATAGTTGGTGACTTTTGGATGGGGTCTCTGAGTGGATGTCCTTTTTGTTGATGATGAAGTTATTTCTTTCTGTTTCTTCGTTTTCCGTCTAACAGTCAGGCCCCACTGCTGCAGGACTGCTGCAGGTCCACTCTAGACCCTACTTGCCTGGTAATCACCTGTGATGGCTGCAGAATTGTAAGGGTTTCTGCAAGTTTCTTCTTCTGTTATCTTTGTCCCAGAAGGATACCTGCCAGATGTCAGCATGAGCTCTTTTTTATGGGGTGTCTTTGTGGATATACGGAGGTCAGTGAGCTGCTTGAGGAGACAGTCTGTGCCTTACAGGAATTCTAGTGCTGAGCTGTGAGCTCCATTGTTCCATTCAGAGCTGCTGGGCAGGTACATTTAAGTCTGCTGCAGTAGAACTCATAACTGCCTTTTTTTCCCAGGTGCTCTCTCCTGGGAAGGTCGGGCTTTATCTATAAGTTCCTGACCTGTTGCTGCCTTTTTTCAGAGATGCCCTGCCCAGGAAGGAGGTAGCCTAGTCACAGTCTGCCAGCAGAGGCATTGTTGAGCTGCCGTGGGCTCTGCCCAGCTGCTGTGTGAACTTCCTTGCGGTTTTGATTATAGAGGTATAGTAAGAACTGTCTCAGTAATGACGATCTGCCTCAGTAACTGTGGACTGCCTTGGTAATGGCGGAAGCCCTTCCCCACACTGAGCTGGACCATCCTGGATCCAGCTGAGCTTGCTGCAAAACTCTCAATCCAGAGCATTTCAGATTTCTGGTCTTTGTGGGGATGGGACCCACCAAGCCAGATCACCTGGCTCCCTATTTAAGCTCCTCTTTTTTCAGTTGAATGGGCGACTCTGTCACCCAGGTGTTCCAGGCACCAAATGAAACAGCCACCCAGATTTGTGTGAGATTTTGTGCGGAGACCCGCTGCGCTAGCTGAAACAGCCCTGCTGGAAACTCATGACACTTTTCAGCCCAGGAGTCTCCTGGACTGTGGGCAGTAATAGCTCATTTGCAAATGCAGTGATCACTCACCCTCTGTGTTGTTCTCTCTGGGGACTGCACTCCAGAGCTCTTCCTATTTGGCCATCTTGGATCCCTCATCGCCCGATGGTTAGGCCTTCTAAGTCACAGGATGAGATAGGAGTTTGGCACAAGAGACAGGTTATTAAGACCTTGCTGTTAAAACAGGTGGCAGTTAAGAAGCTGGCTAAAACCCACCAAAAGCAAAATGGCATTGAGAGTGACCTCTGGTCATCCTCACTGCTACACACGCACCAGTGCCATAACAGTTTACAAATGCCATGGCAACATCAGGGAGTTACCCTCTATGATCTAAAAAGGAGAGACATGAATAATCCACCCCTTGTTTAGCATACAGTCAATAAATAACCATAAAAATGGGCAATCAGCAGCCCAGAGGGCTGCTCTGCCCATGAAATAGCCATTCTTTTATTTTTTTTTTTACTTCCCTGATAAACTTGCCTTCACTTTATAATTCACCTCAAATTCTTTCTTGTGTGAGATCTAGGAACCCTCTCTTGGGGTCTGGATCACAACCCCTTTCTGGTAACGATCATGACTGCCTTTTTGCATTTTTTTATGTATGATCTTTCTCTTTCAGCCATTCTACATCAACTTTTGTTTTTCTCTGAGTTATACTTTTCATTGTCTATTTTTTTATTTGTAAAAGGAAACAAAAAATATGTATAATCATAAACTGCCTCAAATCCTTTAGGGAATGATACAAGGCATAAAATTGTACAAATGAAAGTGCATTTTTGGTCTATTTGTAATTACATCGCATGAAAACAGCTGACCAGATTTTCACTAAATTTGGAGACTCCATTGTGATCACTAGACCTCAAATAGAAGCACTGTACTTGTTTTACATGGAATTTACTTCAGAGGGTCATAAGGAGAACTTCAAAGAAATGGGCAGTTATCCTCCTAAGGAGTTAAAACAGAGGTGCATGAACCTGAATTATTAACTGACTATAAATGATGTACCATGGATATTAAGATGCCATGGTCAGAGGTAACAAACTTTAATTTCAAATTTAAGTCCCAGATTGAAAATCAGAAGTACAAGACCCTTCAAATGGCTGCTTCTCCCACAGGCAATTCTCTATAATAAGCATGAGGGTAAATAGCAGGGATTAATCATTTTAATGAAAATTAAATTCCTAATGATCTATTTCAGAAATCTAGGAAAGCCAACTGGTAAAAAATAAAATAAAATAAATATTTTGGCAACTTTAAAGATACAATGAACACTTACAAAAAA